GAAGTATAAACCTTGATATCTTCAAGAGGCATCACTCAAATCACATAAAAATATTTTAGCATTCAAATGTTCACTTTACGTAGAATCAATACTGAAAATATTGCGTTAGGGGTTATAGGCGCTTTAAGAGTTCCCCTGCAATTCGCATTACCACCACTGGCGTCATCATAATCATTGTACTTGTTCTTCTTGGTTTTCAAAGTAGTGTTTAAGGCACAAACACACGGTGCAACACGGTGCGCGCAACTTTGCAGGCAATGTTGCTGAAATAGGATAGTTTTCTACTTCAGCAACACTGCGTGCAACAAATTGCGTCGTGTGTCATGGCTCGCAACATAAATTGCATGCAGCTTTGCGCGCACCGTGTTGCACCGTGTGTCCGTAGCTTTAGAGTTTATTATTTCAGCTGTGTTGAATGTTTATTCTTACTCATTAATATACACCAATATTACTTTCATTACTTTGAAATGGTATCTTTTAGACTGAAGATGTTGTATAAGCTTTATTGTATTCTGGTTTAGGATTTTTGTTTTGAAGTGAATTGTTGAGCTTCAAATTCGTTATCCTTGGCTATTGTCTTATTGTCTTTTTGCCTCAGGTGCCTTGCAACACCAAAAACCTCAGTTACTCCGACGAAGGACTAGCGTCCGAAACATTAGTCAGTTTTTTCAACTTTTCACGGTGTAAAATTTACCCTTTTATCATTACTATAACACCAAGAAAGAGTCGAACATAGTATAGACTTCCTCGGCTCGAGCGAAATGTTGTCCCATTCCAGACCACGTGTCATTCTCTTGAAACGTAAGATTCTTTGTTGGAGTCGTATCTATATTCAGGTGTCTTGTCATGTGCAAACGAGCGCAACCGTTAAACAAAGAAAGAATACTCTAGAGAATGATACGTGGTCTGAAATGAGACAACATTACGCCCGAGCCGAGGTCTATTGACTTCCTCATTTGAAATTGCTTGAATCATATATTCATAGTGATTAAAGTGTATATCAAGGAATTGTTTTTCTTTCAAAATCACTTATATGTTAATAGTGCAGTAGTATGGTTGAAGTATTTTTGTATGTAACATTTTCTTTTAGGAGATATGAATATTTCAAATATCAATATGCAAATGAGATGACGTAAATTCAAGACTAATTTATTATACAAAAATGCTGTTGTGGAAAGTACTGCTTTTTTTCCATTTGCAAATCATCCTTATAACTGAAATACATGACTGTGTACACTTTTAGGTTATTTCACTTCAGAACACTTGTCGTAAATTACACTGCAAAATGTAACCCCTTCCTATATTTACGTCATCTCATTTGCATATTAATATTTCAAATGTTTATATCTCTAAAAAGAGAGGTCCACATACAAAAATACTGCAATCATGCTACTACACTGGTCACATAAGTAATTTTGAAAATAAAATTTTTCCTTGATATACACTTTAATATACGCCAAGTATGCCATGGAACAGGGAATGTAATCAATCTATTCTTTGTTTGCACGTTACGTCATCGCGGCCATGTTGGTGCCATTTAACAAAAGATTTCTCATTAGCATCCATTGTTAACGGCACCACAATGGCCGCCATGTTTTTGTCTTTTTACTCTGTTGGGAATGCTTGCAACCCATCAAATATCATCTTTCCTTTACTCTGTACTTGAGCTGTTCAATAAAGGGGTTTAAGCATACAAAAATTCCGCGTGTCATTGATCTGTGTTCTGTATAAGATGTTGAACCAAGAAAAGTGAAAATTGCTTGGATTCCTATCAATATTATGTCTGACAAATCAATTTCTTCTCTCATTTCTAAGTAATTGATCTATAAAAGAAAATATTAATTATGATTTGTTTTTACAACAAGTAATGCCGACTTGGCTTCGAATAACTTTCAGTTTCTTCAAGTGCCCTACACTCTCACTTTTACTTTTCGTTTTTGTAACACGTATGATATTGAAATGTAAATAAAGACCTTTCTGATTTTTTTGATACAGGATAAAGCACTGGCCGAATCTCTGGTGCGCAACATAATGTTTCTCGATATGTTTCATATCTTGAATGTACGGTGAGGTTGGTACTCGCACTAGGGGAGACACCATATTTCTCATTTCCGGCGTCATTAACTAAACCATCTCCTCGAATTCATTAAAATCATCAAATTAATTCCAATAAACAAACTGAACGACCACTGACTTAATAAGCCTGAAGCGAGATGACTTTTTACCCCCGACTCTATACCATAATAGTTTTTAGAATTCTTTTATATTAAAATTTTTGTTTCCTTAGAGAATACAGGAACAATAGTCATAATTAAAGAACAAAAGCAATGTGAAAAGGATTATGGTCTAGAGACGGGGGTAAAACGTCATCTCGGTTCAGGCTTATTCATTTAATACACCGACATATCCAGCCCTACATCTTGATGCTATCTCATTCCTTTCTAATTTTACACAGATTGCACACCGAAGATTTAAAGTTTTTGGTAACTACTATACTATGAAAACATGAAAAGACACAACTTACGGAAAGTAATAAGTTATCTCTTGTGTTTATTGTTTAGTTGTTATCGCGATTGTACGTTTTGTTTCAGAGTGTCGAAGATAAGCGTGTTCTCATTTTACACAGGTTGCACGGAAGATTCTTAAAGTTTTAAGTAACTACTATAAAAACAAGACACAACTTACGGAAAGTAAGTTATCTCTTGTGTTTACTGTTTAGTTGTTATCGCGATTGTACGGTTCGTTTCTGAGTGTCGAAGATAAGCGTGGACATTAATAGATTTTCCCCAACATGGACCTTTGACACGCGAGTAAACTAATTACAGTCTACCTTTTACTTGACAGCTTTGTTATGATTAGAACTACGGTGACTAGCTKTGAGCAGGAGTTGAGAGTATGATATGATTGCACCAAAATGTATTCCTTTTGACCTTAAACAGATTTTTAAATCTTTATAATTAAGTGCTTTGCACAGATTCAAAGGAAAAGCTTGCTAGGGTATTGCATTAGTCTTAAGTTGATTTCCGCTCCTTATCGATTAAAAATTATGGTGCTTCTTTTATTTTCCCTTCCTTTTCTTTTCTTTCCTTTAAATTTTCTTTCTTTATTCTTTCACCTATATTAGTTCTTATTTAATACCGCCCGAAATTTCTCCTCGGAACTATCTTCCTTCAAATTTCCTAAATCTTACGTTTAAGTAAATCAGATTAATCACGAAGCTAGCGATACAGAGATGGTAAATCCGTAATGCCCTTAAGCAATTGGTCAATATATGGGATGACCATAAGCTATAGATTACGCGATTAACCATCTTTCAAAGCCGCAAATCGCATGACCTTCAGCCTTAGAACACTGCATGGACGTAGTGAGTTTTGGCAAGGCGCGCGTCAACATTTCCTGTGTTAAACTTAAAGATATTTCCTTTCCTAGTGGTTTTCTCCCTTGACAATGCCATGATTTTGATCAGCCCTGAGATTGTTAGAGGCCCGTACAGAGTACGGTTTCATTTGTGAGTTAGCCATGCCCTGGCTTAGATCTTTCAGAGGTTGTTTCAGCAGGGTTGATCTGTGTTTGCCGTGACCTGACTTTGATCAGCCCAGAAGTTATTTGAGGATTCCATCTGTGAGTTAGTCGTGCCTGAGCTTAGATCAGCCCAGAGGTTGTTTGCGTGTTTGATCTGTGATTTTGCTGTGTACTAACTTAGCCCAGAGGTTCATTTTAGGGTTTGTTCTGTGGGTTATAGCTATACCCCGACTTTAATCAACCCAGAGAGTAGTTGTTTCAAGTGTTAACCGTTAAGTGTTCCATTTTGTGTACCCTTCGAGTTTTTTGAATGAAAACCGAATTGACGAGTTATGATAACATTTCCGGCAAACTACAGAAATTGGAACACATATATGAACCAGGAAAAAGGGGTCAGAATGTCCGTAGCAGGATGTCCGTAGTACTACGGGGTTTCGAATACATTTTGCTTAAGATAACACACGATTGCGATTGTACTGATCTTAGATACTGAACTGAACATCTCAGGTATTCATAACAGGCCCATCCCTAGGACCTTGAAAGGGAAGTTTCAATTTTCTACCAATCGATCTTGTGCCATTTCTTGAAAAACTAAAATAGCGCTAAACTTTATTTCGTACTCTTACAAAAGGTGGAGGGGCAGGGGGGCACGTGGGGGGTGAGGAGGTTCATTCGGACCATCGAGCCATCCCTAGCGACAGGCCTGCATAATCCATCGGAATCCAAACGATAACCGGCTATCTTAAACCAAATTGATGGCTGTAATTTTGTTATGACAGGCCTTAAAATTTCAATCGTGAAGCAATTTCCGTTTATTTATTTCAAGGTGTCTGATTGGACTACATGTTTTTCGTGACAAAAGTGGAATTAAAGAATTGTTCGAAATTGAAAGGGTTGAAGTAAAGTATTCAGAGAATGAGTCGATCTTAACAAGTAAAAAATGAGAATCCAAACAAGAAATATGTATTCTTATAGTTGGAAAATGAGCGTTGATTCTTGAAAAGCGAGGAATCTTTTCTCGCCGTTTTGAAACCGTCATCAACAATATCAATAATAACAGTAACGACAGCAACAACAGCAACAACAGCAGCAGCAACAACAACAGCAACAACAACAGCAACAACAGCAGCAGCAACAACAACAACAGCAGCAACAACAGCAGCAGCAACAGCAACGACAGCAGCAACAGCAGCAACAACAGTAGCGCTACCATCATCAACAACAGCTGACAGCAGTAGCAACAGCATCACTGAACTCCTATTTATTACTCAGTCCAACATAGTCTACCTTTTCCCGCTTTTATACCTCTTCAATGCAAATGTCTGCATTGAAAATATTTGCCCTTGGTATTTACTATTTTACATTAGTGATGTTGACGGACTCAAATTTCACAGAGAAATAAAACATATCAGTCAACCTTCTGGGCCAACTCTTGACCTCAACGCATGACGTGTTAAATAACAAACACACTTGGCTCGAAATCATTCCATCACGGTTGAATCGACCCTAGCATCTGGCAGTCATTTCTTTGTATTTTTCAACCTTAGCCCTGCTAAAACGACTATTTAGCTTGGTAGGCAGCCATACTTGATGTCCTAGGACTGTTCATTGCGTTGCTGTGGTGTCAAGGCCGTGGAATTGTTTTTCGTTTGGAATACGGACTTTTAGAGGAAACTTGCTGACAATGAAGACACGAGTCTTACTTGGGAAAATTTTGACCTTTCTTCTTGCTCTCGAATGCTCCTCCGCTAATAACTGTAAGTATACTTCATAGAACCATTAAAAACTTTCCTCAACAATTCCTTTAACTTGTGTCGATCATCCATATTATAGAATATAGGTAAATATTTTCTTGCTTTTTTAAAGAAATCAAAAACTTTGATAAATCATTAATAAGTTTGTCAAAAAGATTTAGCGCCGACTGGAGATGTCATTATTAAGCTTTCTTTCTCTACTTCAAAATTAATTTATTGTTTAAATTTACGTAGAATTATTGAAGTTTCTTTGTGTGAGAAGTCAATGTACATAACTGTACATATTCTATGCTTTCAATCATTCACTCAGTACATCTATCAATGCTTTAGCATTTTATTAGAGAATTTGATGTTTTTTCCCCAGATCGTCATAGAGATAACACTAATTGTCTTATTGCAGTCGCTTGGTTTAGTAAGGTTTTAATCTAAATAAATCAAATACTAACAATAATAACGTGCTCAATGTGCGCTTTTCCGGTTTAATATGCCTCCTACAGGTCAATACAGGGTGATAAAGCACACTATAAGCTTCGATGGTGACTTACAGAAGTTTGGAGGATAAATGCTATTGCCTGTGATACTATGCTGACACATATGCAACATTAGAAGAKATAACTAGCTAAAAACTAGTGTGAGCTGCGTCGGTGTTTCATATGAAACAGTAATGATAAAAGGGTATATTATACACTGTGAAAACATGAATAAACTTACTGACGTTTCGGACGCTCGTCCTTCGTCTCTTTTACTCCGACGAAGGACTAGCGTCTGAAACGTCAGTAAGTTTTTTCATCTTTTCACGATGTAAAATTTACTTTTTTATCATTATTATATACAACATAGTTTTCACTCTAAACTCCGAATAAGTTCCTTTCTAGAAAAATTCGATAAAAATGTCCAAATCTTTGAACTTTAACTTTGGAATATCAAATTTTATTGCAGAAACGTTGATTATATTTTCGGCTTTGTATTTTAATTTCATCTTCTTTTAACTGCTTTTAAACTCTCTTCGCGAGATTCTTCTTTCAACTTAGGAAGAATTAGGATCTGTCATCAACAGCGCTTAGGCAAATCACTGTTACGTGAAGAAACGTATCGACTACAGTACTTTCCTCAAATCGCCCCGGAATTTTGTCATCTTGACATTCGCTCCGGGATTTTTGGTGTGTCTGTAGATACTTGATTTTAAAATAGAATAAACTAACTACACCTTAATTCGTCAGATTACAAGAGCGATAGATATGCCTGGACAAAGATCTCTTGCAATTCCTTTATAATGGCATACTATCCCAATAAGGTCGCAATTCGTTCGAGGTCAAGCAATGTTTAATTGGGGCTTGTCAGCTGTGGTACTTTGAAGTAAATTTAGTTGGGGAAATTATATAGAGCTTTCAAGGTGCGGATACGAGAAGAAAGTATTATGTGACTTGAGGAAAATGGAGAAGGAAGAAAAATGGGATTAAAAGAGATGGA